GATGTAGGGAGAGCACGAGAGAAGCGTAGGAAACCACGACGCGTAGCGGAGTGGTTTCCAGCTTTTCAAGTGCTCTCCCTACATCCCAAGTGTTTTGATCAGAGTATCAAACACGAAATTTCGTCTTTTATTTCTTTTCTAAAATTAAAAAAAAAAGAAAATTTTGACGTGCGCCAGCGTGTTTTGATACTGTAATCAAACATGGTTTTCGACTAATCACAGCGCGCGTAGTATCCTAAATATTTTAGAAACCATATTCAAACTTATATTTTCTGTGGTCTTAATTTTTCGTGCTGAATTTTCAATATTTTGTAGGTTCTTGTCAATGCACTGAAGCAAGCAGAGCCCAAGGTATCATTTACAGTATTACTTCATTCTGACATAGCTTTGATTTGGCCTTTATAATATAACTGTACGTTAGTTGTATTGCACTGTTTTGATCTACAATATCTGTAATTTTCAGGTCAATGTGCGTCAAAGCATGTTTTATTGTCTTCCTCTCCCACCCAAGTGGACTATTCAGGTGTGTTATATATTTGTATACTGCGTGTAATAAATGACTTGTTCAAAGGAAAAGGTTTGTATTGTATGTAGTAAACCCTCAAATGTGTGCCTTTTTAGCTAAACCAAGGGCGGGTCAAAGGGTGAGTGACAGGGGGCAAAATGCCGCCCCATCCACCTTTTAGGAAAGTCATGMCTAAATACATATTATATAGAAATACATAGTCATATGAATATGACTCTATTGCAAATATAACACAAAGTATTGTTTTAACGCTCTAAATTTGTACAATAAATTTAGAACGCTAGTATATTCTTTTTGTTAAAGTTAAATTTTATATTCTAATGTACCATTTCTGGTATTTATGGAATAAAAGAATTATTCTAATTATGACCTGCATAATTCAGAAGACAGACAGACCAACGCAAAATTTATTGATGCGTCCCCCACCCCCTATCAAAATTTCTTGATTCGCCCCTCTAACCCACGCTACATATGGGCTACAATGGTGCCGGAGAAGCTTCATTTGCAGTGAACATTGATATTTTGGTCTCACTAGTGATCTAGTGGGGGGAGGGAGGGGGGGTGGGTCCAAAGAGAGTTGGACTTGTGGCAAGTCTACTTATTTCATCGCGTTTGGACACTGATATCAGTTTGTTTCACTGATTACATGCAAGTTGGAAATGCTAATATGTTATAGTAACAAGTTTGGTTGGAATATTTTAGGATGATTTTGCGCAGGTGCTGATGTCTTTGGGATGTACGAAGACAGCATATGATATTTACCAAACACTTGAGATGTGGGAAAATGTCATCAACTGCTTACATTCACTAGGAAGATATGAAAAGGTAYTTCGAAGAGCGTTGGTTGCAATATATAGTTAACTCATAATAGTAACATAAGAGCAACAACCGGTAGCAATAGCAACACCAATGAAACAACTGAATGTTCAGCTTTCACAATAGCAACGATAATAATGATGGGTAGCACAATACCCGCATGTTTTCTCGCAACRCATCATGYAGCCCTAACTATCTAGACAGYGCTGTAGATGAGTCTTGCACAAAAACCAGAACTCGAGCTAATATGTGCATAATGGAGCTAGACGGGATATCAATTGTAATGCAACTCCTGTTATTGTTAGTAATTTAACAATGCTCTAAAACCAGCATAAACAAAACTATCAATAACAACAGTTCAGCTGATAATAGCAATAGAAACAGTGACGAGTGAACGACAAAAAAAACTAGGTAGTAAAATTAGGTAGTAACTAATGACTGTACAGAATCTATATAATATATAGCAAACTTTGTAATTTGTTTAAAAYCATTTAAAATTTTATTTTCTGAGTTAAAGGCATTTGAAAATTGAAAATGCTAATGAAGTGACGTCAAGTGAGGCTTCATTAGATATACGAATTTGAAGGAGTCCTTTAAAAATGGTTTCATRGCCTTTCAATTTATCGCAGGCAATGTAGGGAATAACCATATTCCCAGATGGCGTTCATGAAATCAGTTTTGAGCGACTGTTTTCAATTTTCAAATGCCTTWAACTCAGAAAATAAAATTCAAACAACTTCTTTTTCTTCAAAACAATGATTAGCATCATATTTTCGATTTATTAAAAATGATTTTCTAAAAGGGTTCATGTGCACTTTTATGTCACTTTAGGCTGAAAACTTGATTCGAGATCAGCTCAAGGGGCAAGAAACTTCCAAATTATGGTGTCTCCTTGGGGACGTGACAAAGGTACATTARGGCTTTCTGCCTCAAACCGGGGCTTCTTGAACGATACWGGCTATTCGAGACGCACAACCTCTGAAAAAACTGTTGTTTTGCAAAGATATTGTACTTCCCTGTGATCACTATTGTTTCTASCAATTGCAATCTTTAGCGAATCAATTTACAAAATATACACTGAAATCTCATTGTCTTCTCATTTATTGAGTTCTCAACTCATTTGATTTTCTTGGTTTCAGGATGAGTCATGTTATCAGAAGGCCTGGGACATATCTAATCACCGAAGTGCACGTGCCCAAAGATCCCTGGGACTTCTTTATCTGAGATCGAAGCGTGTAAGTGGCGTACATCTTTTTTTGTGTAATCTCAGCATTCGGGATTCCCCCTTGATTCTGCGATTATAAACGACGTTTCTAAAGCTAATATTTTTCGACAAAGATTTCCGTTCAAAAAATCTCACTGCTATATTTTCATTAACTTATTTGTAGCATGCTGAAAGTATCCCTTGCTTCCAAGCTTCCCTGGAGATAAATGCCCTCCAGGTGAGATAAAATGGTAAACTAAGACACTGCAGGAACTCATTACTAGGAGCGATTATGTTATTTKTGTTTCMCGGARATCTTCTCGGCACGCATAATAACGGAAGTGACTGCTCATTGGTCGAAAAAATCATGGTCGCTCCTACTAATGAACTCCTGACCACTGCTATTGTTATCATCATCATTCATAACAACGATATAACTAAACTATGGTATGTAACTACAGTAAGGAGCCATCTTGTCTCGTGGATTTAGTATAATTATTTCGTAATATTACTGTTTTTGTTTCCAGGAAAACATCTGGTTTTCTCTTGGATGTGCYGCGATGTCTATAGAAGACTGGGAACTAGCAAAGAAATCATTCCATCGATGTGTCGCGCTCGATTCCAGTGTAAGTATATAGTTCAAAAAAACAAAAGAAAGAAAATTCGTAGCAAATTTGTAGCTAAGACCCGTAAGTATTAACATAAAGAGCTCTTGCAAGGGCATTGTTTGCACCACTTATATTTTTGACCAGTTTTACGAAATAACAGTCTAATAACGAACTATAAACATCGAAGCTCTTGCTATMTTCGTACTGCAGTAGTAGTTTTGTGCGTTCAAATATTTTGTCATTTTTAAATTCAGAATTCAAAGGCTTGGAATAATCTTGCAAACGTGTATGTTCATCTCAATGAGAGGTTTGTTAAATGATGCTCAGAATTCATCATGAATGACATACTRAATCTATTTTCTTTCCTATTTAGTTGTCATTATTGATTGATAATTGTTGATTGATCGATCATTATAGATAATTCATTGATTGGCTTAAAGTGCTTAGTTTCAGTGAAGAAATAATCGCTTTACTGTTTGTTTGATTTATTAATTCGAGTAATCGATTGTTGTTGGTTGATTCCTTATATTGATTGATTTATGAATGACGGTTCTTTCTTGATCATGATTAATTGTTTAGGTTGTCCGATTTACCGATCGATCAATTTTTCTTTTAATGTAGACCTAAAGCTCATGCAGCACTTAAGGAGGCACTTCGCTATGAATTCAACAACTGGCAAATGTGGGAAAACTACTTAGTGGTAAATAATRTTATGCCTCCGAGGGCCTCATCATTTTAAATCGCAACCGTCTTACATCCAAAAAATCCACTTGCGAAAGATAAATTGTTCAAATTAAAGTTCTTTTAGTGAGTTCAAGTATATTTTTTAAACGATATTAAAAGACGGCACTAAAACTGAGTGCTCAATTTTCTCCRTTGTTTTCTTTTAAAACTTTAAAATCCTTTTAACGACTTTAACTACATATACGTTGTGTAAAAAGATAAATTTAAGGTATCTGGATACAGTTGTTTAGAACACCGACCGGGACGAAAGAAACGGGTCAAATTTAAATTGGTCGATCGTAATAATATTTTACTACATGATTAACATGGGATTCAAATTCATATTGAGTAAATTTTTGTAAAATCGGATTTAATTTATGCGTTTTATGGGGAAAATCCAGGAAAACGCTTTTACAGCTATTTCAAACAAATTAAGCCTATTTTTTCCGCGATATCTCAGGGACATAATATTAGAGGTGTTGCCTAACTATTACTAAAGTTTGGTCGGAATTCATCGAGGAAAGACAACATCATGCGGTACTTAACTTGGAGCAAGAATTTTCAAAAAAAAGAGACATTGTCTCGCATACTTCCATTGTTGGTCCTAACYTGTCACTCAGAATCACTGATCACTTTGAATGTACCACCTCTAATGTTGTCTATTGCATTAAATGTTCGCCTTGTAATTTGTTGTATGTCGGCGAGACTGGTCGTCGTCTTGGCGATCGTATCCGTGAACATCTTTATAGTATTCGTCATAATGATCTTAATAAGCCTGTTTCCCGCCATTTTAACATACCCAACCATTCACTTTCTAACTTTATTGTTTTTGGTTTGTCTTTGATTAGCGGCAAAACCAAAGAAATACGCCTCATTCACCAATTGGGCACTTATAATCCCCATGGGTTGAATGAACGCTTTGTTTTCAGATAAGTTTTATATCCTTTGTTCCCTTTAGCACCTTTATTGTTCTTTTGTCTAACACTTTGCTTTTTTTGTTTATTTCTCGTTACCATGCCTACTGTGCTCATTTTCTTTGCTACTCTTACTATATAAACTCACACTATACCTAGTTCTATCTCTTTACTCCGACGAAGGATTAACGTCCGAAACCTCAGTAAGTTATTTCACATACTTTTTTACGGTGTTAAAACTTACTGACGTTTCGGACGTTAATCCTTCGTCGGAGTAAAGAGATGGAACTATAGGTATAGCGTGAGTTAGGACCAACAATGGAAGTGTGCGAGACAATGTACGGACAAGTGTTACAAATTTTACGTAAGCAACGAAAAGTGCCAGGATCATTATTAGAATGAAAAACACCTTTGACTAGGAAAGAACGAAGGTTACGAAGGTTCATTAGAAATAAGGTATCGGTCGTTAAAGATGTGAGAAGTGTTAGTTTCAGAAGTGAGTATGGAGTATGGAGGAGAAATTGGGGGGCCCTGAAATAATTTCGTTGGAAAATAGGGGGGTCTTGAATGTTTAAAATCACAGTTTAGGGGGGTCTTGAAAGTACACGAAATCAATATTTTTTTCAAATATAGTAGGCAACCACTCTTGTAGGCGACCACGACTACCTTTGGGATT